GTGCTTGAGTCCTACAAGTGACATGTGTGTATATGTGTGTGTGTTTTGTATGTGTGTTACCCAAGAAAAACAAAGGAGGAGAAATAGAGGGACATAAGTCTTGGCTGTGTAAATCTGTCACACCACACCTCTACTATTTATGTGCCTTTGTCTAGTTTAGTGGACTTTAATAAATCATTAAAATGCACTTAATGTGTGACTGTGTGTGAGCTTGTGCATGTGCATACATAGCAGTGCATCACTGAGATTGAAAGTGGGAGCACAGTCCTGAGGATTCATGAATTAGGTCTGATTTTCTGTCTGATTACACCACGATGGGCCACAGGGTGTCCAGTGTGTTTGCACGCAATGGGCCCGCTAGCCTCCATCTCAATGACATAGATTTAGTAAGGTAATGACTAGAGAGGGGGTGGGGGAGTATGACTCAACATATCAGAGCCACAGAGCACAGGTCCCCTAAGGCTGGGCTGCCTTACAGGTTTATAATAATAGTATTTATGTTGTTAGAGCTATGATGTATTGGGAGGGGAGCTTGAGCATTACACCTTAACAGCAGGCTGATGCTGTTACACTGCATCTTTAGAGATAATAGAGTAAAGAACTGAAAAAAACACACACCAGTATGAACATGGTGGATGAGATGGCTTGTTATCAGTGAGGCTAAACTGTGAAGTTTGAAGCTGCCTAGGGATAACAGATGCAATTTGTTCTTTTTTCAATCAACAAAGACAACATGGAGATGCAATTAGGTATGATCATTTCGTCAAATAGCATCATTAACAATGTTATTTACCATTCAACTCAGCTGCCATAACATAAGATTTAGACTGTTAAAACAGCATGAATGTAATGCCAAGTAATGCCAAGATGTGATTGCTATTTTTTTTATTATAGAAATGATTTCTAAGCCTTAATTTGTGTAATATATTGTCCATCCATCCATCCGTCTTCTTCCGCTTATCCGTGGTCGGGTCGCGGGGGTAGCAGTTCCAGCAGAGAGCCCCAAACTTTCTTTTCCCTGGCGACATCAACCAGCTCTGACTGGGGGATCCCAAGGCGCTCCCAGGCCAGCAAAGAGATATAATCCCTCCACCTGGTCCTAGGTCTACCCCTTGGTCTCTTCCCAGCTGGACGTGCCTGGAACACCTCCCTAGGGAGGCGCCCAGGTGGCATCCTAACTAGGTGCCCGAAATTATTGTAATATATTGTGTTATGTGTAAAGATATGTTATCCTCTTAAACTATTTTTTATGAAATACTGAATATGTTTCATGTGCTGTACATAGTTTATTTTAACGTATACTAACTGCATTATGAGTTTTTACTTAATTGTTGGCATCGTTATTTATTTGGCATCAAAGCTGAATTTTTTTTTCTTGACATTAATTCTGTGCTAGTTTTTAACTTTCCTAGGTATTTAGAGAATGTTCCATTAAAATGAGGTCCATACATTATTAAAGCCCATCTCTATTTACAAAATAGATAATCCTTAGAGTGTTAGTTAAAGTTCAAATTGAAATAAGTGACCTAATACCTGGCAGTTAATGATACCTGAGTCCCATCCATTTCCAAGCTATTGACATTTCAAGCCAACCCGCCCAAGGGACTAATGGAGCAAAATAAACTGCGAAAAATGTGACACAAAGGGCTTGTGACACTGTTTGCTTCGGAATGGAAATCTATGTGTGCCTTTCACCGAGGGAAAGTCCCTTGGCGACTGTGTCCGATCCACCCCCATTTCATGCTTTGTCAACTCCGGGATGGAGTCATTCCAGACAGGGAGGAAGTTAAGCGACATGAAGACTCGGCATCACAAAGCCAGGGGGGAGGAAGTACGGAAAAAGGTTTACCACATTAACCCAGGAAACCTCGATTAGGTATAAAACCGGCCTCTAACAGATAAGGTGCAGAGGAATACTTCACAAACAGATATACCTGAACTTATCATAACATCCCGATGCAATTCATTTACAGCTGTCATTTACAGGTGAGCTCATTCTGACAGCGTAAAACCTCAACCTACCTCAGCTGACATGAATTCTTCTGACATGATGTCGTAAATATGGAAATCCACCAGCAAGGTAAGTGACCTCTACTTAACCTCGAAAGTCAAATAACGCCCTTGGGTATATTTTAGGCCAAGTTATTGAAGAAAAGCCACATACAAGAGCCTTAAGTATCTAATAAATGAGTTACATGTTAATACACAATGCACCATTATTACATTGGTGAGCTCCCAGCTATCCTCAGAGACGTCAAAGGGTCCAACAGTTCAAGTATTTTGGCCGCTCCAGATTGATCGATTTTTTTGCTGCTGCCATTTAACATTTGTTCCGCCGGCATGATCTCTCTTTTTAAATCTCACCTAAAAATCAATTTTTATAGAAAGCTTTCTGTCGCACTTAGTATCCCTTGTCGTTTTATCACTGAACTTAATGACGCCACTTATTTCGATTTTTTATTGTTTGCCATTATATTGCTCTTCCATGCTGTTTTATTTTCTCACACTGAGTGGAAAAATTGCTCTTTTATTCCTTACATGCTGTTATTTTTATGGTTTCATACGTACGGTCATTGTATACTCTGAGATGCTCTTAAAAAGTACTCCATCCATTTACAAAATGATTACTTTGGTAAGATCATCATTGTCCTTTCCTTCACTCTTGCAGTTCAGTCATGCAGCCATTTTACATTATGCTTGCATCAATATTCCAGGCTAATTAATAAGTCTGAGAGGAGGGTTATTGCTTGTGTGGCCTATGTGCTAAGTGTGTCAAACTGTATTAGGTGCGGGACCTGCTGATTAATCAATTATGTGTCGGTCCGTTGATGAAACGAAAATGCATGCATGTTCTTTTGTAAAAGGTCAAGAGCAGCCGCGCTGCCGAGCAGAATGATTAATGCAATGAGAGCCAGCCCTCTGCACCTACAGGTTACATCAAGAGCACCGTGTTACAACACCACTGACTCCAGAAAACTCACTTTCAGAAAAGAAAACTCAAGCTCAGCCTCATTGAAGCTGCTGCCATGGTTACAGGGGCAAAACCCATTAATGAACAATCGTTTTTGCGTGTTTGAAGCAAATTTAACAGATAACCTCCATTCTATTGAAGTTGTTTGGTATATATTGTAGCGAGTAACAACAGCTTACTTTCATGACACTTGTTGCTATGGATACCATGCACTCGCCCAAGCCACCAAATCTCTCATTAGCAATTTAGCAATTTGATTCTATGGGGTTGGGATTTATTGCATCCACCAATAACCTTTGTTTTCAGTTTGGTATTAATGAGCTATTAAGGATTATGGAAAGAATATGACCTGTCATTAATGAAACTGGGTAGAAGACTGTAGCATGGGCCAATTACATTTGGGCGTGAATCTGAATTAAGAGCAAAGTACATAATGAAATTACATGTTGTTAACATTGTAAGACGTGACATTTGGCCTTGGCGGAGCTCTGTGCTTTATTTAGAATGAGAGAGCTAACTTTAGCCTTTTTTTTGTATTTACTTTATGTATTAAGGGACACATCAGTAAATATAAAAACACTCATAATGAGTATGACTTCTTCCTTTTTTGATACATTAGAAATATGTGTCTGTTCTCGAGATGTGATGCCAGTAGCCCACAGGGTGCATGATGAAAGCAGCGCTGTTCTTTTAACACATTCTTCATCCCTTTTTTACTAAATGATATCTTCAAAACATCATGAGTCATTTATTTCCTCTACTCTCTTGAGGACCACTTTCTGAGCATGGTTTCGTTCAGTTTCCAAGGTAAGGGCCCATGTTGCAAGTTTGCAGGGCTTCATGTTTGGCTAAACTGATATAATCCAGCATTAGCCTGCTTGGTTTGCACTCCTCTCCTCTAGCGAGCGCACATTCTTCATCCCCTACAGAACACTACAATCATGTATTCAGCAGGCATATATCTATAGCCCGCATGCTCATCTCCCGCTCTCCTACCTCCTATCTTTCTGTGATGAATGACACCCATCACAGAGCGGTTAAGAAATGATTCTTCATTAATCTGAGTCGGCATGCTGTCATTCTGCCAACGCAGAGACCCTACGACTCTTTTTCACACCAACTAACCCTGAAACAAGCGGAGAGGCAGCCGCAGCAGAAGTCAGAGCGAGGCAGTTGTCACCATGGCAACAGGCAGATTGACACATGGCTCTACGCTTATATAATTAGGCAGTTAGAGGAAATTGGAAGAAGTGGCAATCACACTTCACTTTGACACATCCCAAGATGCGTGTTGTATACATGGTGGGTGGAGAGTTGTTATGTATCAAGATATACTGATCTTTACATACAGCAGTTCATGTGTATTTATTTTGACTATAAAAAACAACAGTTATTAAATATCCAGTATGAATAAGGTGGGATCAAGTTATCATCATCAGTTGTAAGAATTATCACATTGACGGTACTTTTGCAGCATATAAAGAAACCACTTTGCAGTCAAAGAGTATTTTTGGAGCTAAAATACAATTTGCAATTACCTTTTGTGGAAGGAAACAATAATATTTAATATTATAGAACATCAAATCCAAATCAAAGTTCATTTTCAGGGATCTAAGTGTTAAAATCCCCCATTAAAAGAGTTAAAAACGATACATAACACACTGCAGATATGGAAAAACCCCAAAAATGCATACAGTAATAGGGCCTATTATTTATTCAATTTGTGTGAATACAAAAACTATTTCACGATCACAAAGTGGGGACACGCATCATATTTGAAGAAAAAAAGCATGCCCCCAAAAGGTAACTCATTTTATTTTAGGCTTGGGACATCAAGTTTGTTTATGATTTGGGTTAGGTAAAGGTTAGGGCTTGGGTAGGCATGCCATTTTTAAGGTTAAGGTGAAGGAAATCTCATATTGAGTTAATAAAAATGTAATCCTTTGTGACTCAAACATGTGTATATGTGTGTGCGTGTGTCTGTGTGTGTCTGTGTGTGTGTGTGTGTTTGTGGAAACCCATTACTTACTCTGCCAGCTCTTCAAGGCTCCGGTACACATCATCCTCATTCAGAGCTGTGTCCTCCGATGGAAAAGGCCTGGAACACACAAATACACACGGAGACACAAATAATGAGAGGGAATTCAAGCTGTGAGACACACACAACAGTGTCCCATGTAGAAAATAACCAGCGTTTTCTCTCTGCCAGCTTGTCACTCTTCGCTCCATCACTTGGGCAGCACAACAGCAGGATGTATTTTACCAGACGACCCCATCAGTCACAAACAACATGTTCAAACCACATCAACACATTGCTGCTGACAGATAAAAAACCTCTTCACACGGCCAACTTTCTCAAGAATTCAGGGAGAAAAACTGCCTTTTTTTCCCCACCTGATGGATGGGCAGATGCCTAATAAATCCTCTCAGGGGGTTTGAGCAGCTTTCAAGGACCCTCAGGGGCATTGCAGATCAATTCAACATATTGAAAATGACAGTTTAAAGCTGTCTTTCCAGCAAAAATGAGCTTGTCATCTTATTGTATACACAACTTTTCAATATAAGACATGCAGAGAAGGCTACATTAGCATAAATGTCCGCCCATCGCATTAATAATCTGAACGATTCCTCACGATCCCCTTCTTGAATGTATCATTCCCGCCCACGCCGCGTCAACAATCACAATACTCCTGGGAAGTATAAATGGATGACTCATCGATTAGCTCATTAAGCGGGGTGGATTTATTTCTAATCTTTGTGAAGATATATCTGCTTTCCGCTAACATTATTGTGAAGTGCATGTTTAGATCTCGATTGGCCGACATGCTTTATGATGTGTTTTTTTGTTCTCCTTTTGCTGCTACAAATGATAGCCTATTAGCTTAATGCCGTGCACAATTGAAGCCCATCAAAGTCAGTGAAGTAATGATAAGCACTAATCGCCAAACAAGCTAAAGTTACTGAAACGGAAATGTTGCGTATTATTAAACTAATCCCTCATGTTTATAAGAGATAATAACAATTATTTTTAATGATACAGGCTATTTGCGTCAAGCGCTAAACTAATAGGGATGGTGAAATGTTTTAAAAATGCACTCATTAGCAGCGTTCAAAGTACCCAAATGCGACAATGCATAACATTATTTCAGTTTAAGAGTTTCTTTAGGCCTGTTGTTTTGTTTTCATCATTATAGCAACATACTGGTGTTACCTCTCCTCAAGCAATACATCCCACGCACAGCAGCATCTAACAGGGATTCCTGTTACGGTAAACAGCCCTGTCAGGTTGACCTTGACTCCCGTCTGAATAATGTAACTACTGAACATATGATTTGTTTTCTTTCTGTCAAAGAGCCACTGGACACACACACACACACACACACACACACACACACACACACACACACACACACACACACACACACACACACACACACACACACACACACACACACACACACACACACACACACACACACACACACACACACACACACACACACACACACACACACACACACACACACACACACACACACACACACACACACACACACACACACACACACACACACACCACACACACACACACACACACACACACACACACACACACACACACACACACACACACACACACACACACACACACACACACACACACACACACACACACACACACACACACACAAAGGGTTCTACCATTATTCAAGAAAGAGATGGAGAAGGATGAAAGGGGGCAGGGAGGTTTTCAGGCTCATGGGGAAAGCGAGGAGCGAGATACGCCTACATGTTGGACACATAATCGGTAAAAAACAAAGCAATTACTGGACTGTGAATTTTGATATACATGTGTTATTATCACCAGCACAATGAGTCCCTTCACAACATCTTCTGGGGGTTTGAAGCAATGGTTTTTGCACTTTTAGACATTGGTAATGACAACAGTATTTAAGGTACATAAAGACATTATGTGACATCATCATTGACGCTAGAAATATTTATAATATAGTTGTCCTGCAAGACAATGATTTTGATCAGTACCCATATTGCTTGAACCTACATAAATGAAAATTAGGGAGAATACACTTTTTACAAGAAATGCCACCAAAGTGCTCTTTCATAATGTCCCATCTAATTGGCTACACATAATAATGACTGTATCCTGACAATACAATTTCAAATAATTTGAGATGAGGTACTGTCTTTTAAATGGCTTATAGTGTTTGCTCTCTGTATCAGCCAATCAGCTTGCTCGTTCCTGAATGTGAATTGGACCCAGGTACCCCTCAACAAAAACATGCCTGTTTGCTATCCTTGCTCCAAAATGGTGGAACGAGCTCCCCATTGACATCTGTACAGCAGAAAGTCTACATATCTTAAGTTTAAGAGTTTAGCCAAGTTGAAAGTAATGCACCACCTCTTCAATGGTTTGGCTTATTTGAATAAAATATAACTGTACTCTTCTTGTTGTTTTGCGTTTTTATCTTAATCTCAAGTTACTTTGGATATATGCTTTAGCTAGATGAAACGTAATGTAATGTAGTGGTTGGTAGAGTTGCATGCATGTTTACCTTGAAAGAAAGAAGGTGGCTTGTGTCTAAAGAATAGCCTCAAAGCCAGAAATGGCCTGGTGATTGATATAATACACATCTAGTGTATACATCTATGGATGTGAAAACAGTTCAAGGAAGATATAGTAGCAGGAAAAAAACAATAAAAAAAAAAACTGAATCTACATTTGTGTTGTAGCTGACCGTGAAGTTAGCGGTGAGGATTGGACAGTTCAGTGTCAGGGGCCAGACGTTCAAAGCTCTCATAAAAGCCCTCCCCTCTTTATAAGCACTCAGCCTTTGAAATCCTTTGACTGTGTTTGATCCGAGAAACGATCAGATGAGTGACGCTTTTATTGTGGTTCCCTGTCCTTGTAAAGATCCAATGGCGCTTGCCTGTTGGTGTGTGAAAGCCCAATATCGTACAAAGTGACATTTACAGTGTGTGGGTAAAAAATAATCGAAACAGTACTCCATCTTCTCATTTTAAATGTGCATATGTGTAAGTGTGTGTCGACCTGAGTGTATCTGTGTGACACCAGAAATTACCCTTTGTGTAATGAAAGCTGTGGTCACACTGAAAAGAGTGTGTCAGCCATCAAGTTAATTAATGCTATATAGTCAAAAGGTCAGCTGGACACCCTTCAGGCATGTGTACACACACTCACTCGCAAATACACACATTAACATGCAAAGAATCCTGCAAACTCAACACTTTTCTCTGATTCATTAACTTTGCTAACTTTACCATGTCTAAGTGGCTGACTCCATTAAAACGTATGTTCGTCCACGAGCTAATTACAAGTATTAATATGAAGGAATAATAATAGAAAAACTGCCTCGTCTGATTTGTTACTTTCTCACTCACAGTTATGAGCAGAAACACAGAGCGCAGAGGGGGGGCTTTCTCTGGAGTGCAATAACACAGCCGCGTTGATGACCCCCTCCAATGAAATGTGCATTATATTATAAGATATTAATGGAGTCCTGCAGGGCTAAATTTAATTACATAGTAGTTTGCGGAGATGTGAGCTCGTATGCATCACCTCAGTGTTGTTTTGCGGAGCCGAGCGTTGCCCAATGCTGCCGTTTTAATTTCGCCTAAATGGTACCACCAGGTGCAATTGAACCGTGTTTATAATTTGATCAGGAATCAGATGATGAGCCGTCTCTTGGCTTTTCAATAACGCTCTATTGTCTTTTCTGCACGCGTGTTGTTCAGGCCTGTTCGCTGGGTGATATACCAAAGTGGAAGCTGTGGTTGTTTTTCTATGTAATCTGTTGTCTATTCACATACAGTAGTACAAAGTGTTTTTGGTTATCTTTTACACCTCTGATTATCAAGCACTAATGGTATTCATAAGCTACTTTGATTTGGCTTATTCATGTGCTTTTATCCAAATGTTTTGAGACAAATTGAGTATTTAAGGTTTTAGGAAGAAGAGTGTAAGTAAGGTAGATGTATTTGGTCCAAACAGCTGATGCATTATTTAAAGAATCCTGTAAAACTAGTTTGTTTGCAATCTTTCTTCTTTCGGATGATTTCTCCATTTTCATAGCTTTTGTAGCTTGTGTGTTTCGTTAATTTACTTGCATGTCTTTTTCATTACGTCCCATAAGGAGGTGATTTATTTGGTCTGTGTGTCTGTTTTTCATAAGGATCACAGAAGCACTATAGTGGCACAACACGTGGTGTAAGGGTTTAGCATTCGAAAATATAAATAATAACCCAATCTATTTATTTTATATAAGTTATACCAAATGAAAATGTTATTTTAAAGGAAGCTCATAGGAAGTCATAAGGAAATCATGGACCCTTACCAAAAAGTATTGCCTGTTTTTCATTCAGCAAATGGCTTCAAAAGGGAAATTATGGATTGGATTTGCAAGTTAGTTCGTGTTTTTCAACCATAAAAGAAAAGTAGAAACATTTAAGAAATGTTGTAGCATGTCTTGGAAGGTAAATGAAAAGGCCTCTCAGGGCATTAAAAAACCCACATTTAGTCTTCTACCAACGCCTCTCTTATTGTCCTGCCTTTCTTTGGTGATTTCATTGCATCATGTCTGATCTCTTTTTCTTCCTTCCTTACAGCTAGTGAATGCATGGATGGAAAGTGTGGTTCAAGCTGGTCCCATTGATCCACTATTGTCGAAACAGCAGAACAACAGTGTAGCTGTTAGGTGTGAACGCAGCTCAAATGGTCAGCCTTGGAAGCAGTTTCACATCCCAGGACGCGGCTTTGTTTCTGCAGGGGTCAACAAATCGCTGGAGCCTGAGGAGGCTACTGCACTTTGCCACGTATTGTACCAAGCCTGCCCATAAACCCTCGTGTGTGTTTGTTAATATGTGTGTGCAAGATAACAAATGAGTAAGAGCCTGTTTCTTTGCATGTGTGACTTTATCTCACAACAGTAACTAATAACATTAGCACATGAGATGCATTCAAACGTGAGCAAAACATGAGTGGATGTGCATTGTGATGAAAGCATACTAATATGTGTGATGCAATTCAGTGGCGTGAGGGGGCAGAGCTTTGCTGACAGGAAGAGGGAAGGGAGGGAGGACACTTTGCCTGCTTCTTCTACTCCTGCATCCCACTAATCTTAAAAATAAATGGATGTCAATTGCACATCCATATTGCCCCTGCACTGAGTATGTACAGTATTTCATCATGATTTTGTATTAATCCTGATGGAATATATAACTTGCGTGTCACAAATGGCTTTTCATATACCACAGAAATACTTTAAGATGATAAAGTAAAGATGAAAACAATTACTTGAGTACTATTCTAGTTATTCAACACACAAATATCCTCTGCAACTGTTATGTGTGGGAGAGAAACTCCCTATAGTGAGCTTTTGGATTAAAGTCTTTGCAGACCATTTACATGAACAAAAACGTTAACTATCGGGCTTCTTTAAGACATTTCGTGGCCCTTAGAAAAAAAATATTTTACAATTTTGTGAGCAATATACCTATTATTTTCCTCTACATGGACAGCATTTATTGTCCGCCAAACTTCTGATGTTGTTTCTTAGCTAGTTCCCTCCATAGTGTGGTTTTAACACATTAACCTTTCAAACAATAGTACTCTCAACCTTAAATTCAATCCAAACCACTACATGAGCACACACAACACAAGTCTAACATATATCTTTTAGAAAGTTAGAAACTCCAGTACATATAAGGGGTAGGAAGTGGGGGGCTGAATAACAGGACAGTGGATGACGCAGGCTTATACTGTAGATAGCAGTGAGTAACACAAGGTCAACTCTGAGGACACAAAGACGTGACGCCTTTAAGGCTGTTGAGTGAACGTTTTTACAGTCAATTGATAAGAGACGGATGGATTTAGATGGTAGCCAGGATGCAGTCTTGGTCTCAGAAGTGGAGGAGGTGGGCCCAAGGAAGTCAGAAGTTGTCAAAATTGACCAATTTAGAAAAAAAGGACCGTTTGGACTAAGATACAGCTCACATCAGTAACAATATGGTCCTGTCAAGGATGTTCAAATGCAGTTGTTTTTATGAAAATATGATATACAAATGTATCCCACTGTTGAGTCATATACACCTTCCAGTTTGTATGCTCCAAAACACAAGGTAGATAGAAAAATAAAGTTATTTCTGAATGAATTTTGTCAGTCAACTGAGTATCACAAAGGGCATGCAAACTACAAAACCAGCAGCCTTATATTTTTGTAATTGTCAACTCATCTGCTTTAAGTAAGATGGACAGTAAGAGAGCACTCTGAGAGAGAGATGAATAATTCATACAGAATTTAACTGAACATTTGTCAAAGTGAATAGGGTACAAGTTATGGAAATGTTTTTTTTTGTTTTTTTTAAAGACGACAATTCAAGCATCCCGTAAAACTGACTAGAGACGACAGAATGAAAGATGAAAGTGAAATGGGCAGATTAATATTTGATGCATGTCCATTGAATATCTGGTTGTGCACAATTTAGCATCATTTTTCAGACCCGGTCTGGAATACTGACACAGTGACAGAGACATAAACTATCGATGCAGGAGAATAGTGAACACACACATCAAAGACCAGATCAATGGGGCTTCTACAGAACGTCAATGGACATGCCTATGGCAATGTGACCCAACACAGTGAGGTACTCTCCGGCCATGTTAAAACTCAATGGATGGCCTGATGTGCTGTCCATACTTTAATGATCTAAGACTGTGGGGTTATTGTCTGGGAATAGAGATCTCTACCCTCAGGAACTAACGCTAAAACTTCCTTTAAATCCCTTTGTAAAACAGTTATCTTCATTAACTACTTTCTGTAAAAGGGACATGGACACCCATTGGACACCCAACCAATTACGACATTTCACATATTAACCACTCTAAACCCAAAACCTGCCATGGATTTGGAAACTCGTGGTTTCATGACAAAAAAAAGTAATACGATTTATTGAAGCCAGAGACTGAAAAAACAGACGTCATCCCAAGACAGTTCTTGATCTTAGACAAACACATCTTTAAGGAAACATAACATATTCTAAGCTTTACACTGTGACATTTCTAGAGAATCTTACTTATGTCTTAAAGAAATTAGTTTTGTTCTCATTTGTTTGAAGAACATGTGAAGTTCCCATTCTCACAAGCTGCCCTCTTTTGAAGGTTTACATACATATAGAAAACATCCTGTAAGACATGGAGGTGCAATTCAATGGTTTCTGTTTGGCCTTTGCAACCGTATGCAATAACTTATTATTATGGGGCAGTGGTGGCGAAGTCGATAGGGACTTGGCTTGGCAACTGGAAGGTCACCAGTTCAAGTCCCGGCAAGACCAAGTGCTACCGAGGTGTCCCTGAGCAAGGCACCGTTCCCCACACTGCTCCCCGGGCGCCGTTCAAAATGGCAGCACACTGCTCCTAACACTAGGATGGGTCAAATGCAGAGAAACAATTTCCCCACGAGGGATTAATAAAAGTCCATCGTCCATCCATCTTTCCTAAAGGTGTTGCATTGGAGGGAACTGCTTACATGTACAGTATGGGAAGTGTTTAAATGAGAAGCCACAGGCCTGTACACAGTTTACAGGGACTTTAAAGTGAGACAGATACGTTCTGACAGTTCAACGGGTCCTTTGAATGCAGCTGACCTTGCCTTACAAGCAGTATTACTAAGAAGTGGATGAGGAGACCCTTTAGAAAGGTTAACTGGGGTCAGTGAACAACCATATTGTGTAAGCGCTCTGCTGGATAGTAACAGCCTGTTTGTTTTAGATCATCCACTACATCAACCCATACAGGACATGTGTCATATGCCCATGTGCGCATCCTGTAGCGAAAGCAGTAAGAGTCAGACTTTTGCTTAACGCTCCAGTATGCACCATGTTAGATGTTATTACAGCAAAATGTCTATGCACTACTACCAATACCACTGATAATCAACAGTTAACTCTGTATTTCATTGTTTTGATGCCACATTTCAACAAATGTCACCAACCTTCCCTAATGAAAAGCATGACAAGTCAGTTAGCAAGCCACCTCAAACAGGGCAAATGTACACGAACGGCTGAGCACAAAATGACGGAAAGCTGAAAAAGAAAAGTCCTAGGTGAAGGGGGTGAAACATCCAGCAAGCTGAGGGACCGAGAGATTTAAAATTTGATAAATTGAAGGTAAGAACCAGATGTAAAAGGGAAGTAATATATAAAATGGACTTAATGGACATAATGGACTTCCATTTATCACAAGGCGAGAGGTTTTAGTATTCAACATCACACACAAGGGGGCACACCTCCTACACCAAATGAGAAGGGATATAGGTGTTTTTATCATGATGAAAGGTAGACTTCAACAACAACCCTCGGGTTTGTATCAGTCTTTTACATTTTGTGGCAAAAAAAGTAACATTTTAAATGAAAATAATATTTAGAATGTAGGAAAATCAAGCTCTTTTAGATAATAAATAATGAATTATTACCAATTTCCAAGATAATAATGTAAGGTTAGATCATTTTGAGGGAATATAGTTTGGTATTGGTATTTGTTAATGGCCCTAATACCCTAGAGCTTAATACATGTTATCTTTGGGACCTTACATAATAAAGTCATAATCATTGATCCCCATGAGGCAGTTGTGTTTTCACATCAAAATGCAAAGCAAATAGAGAGGTTAGGGAAACCTTGGGGCTGAAAGCAATTCAATGTTAAGCTCAAGCACATATTAGTAGTTAGGAAAGTTGGTCCAATTACTTAAACAGAAGAGATTGAACCTAAACTAATACTGTCATATTTAATTTACATTCAGATTTCTGAGATTGAAGTAACACAGAATCAGTGACTGGCATTGAGGTTGAATATGTTTTCATTTCGACAGCATAGAGCAAAAGAGTCAGTGTGGACATGGGGAGCAGTCAGCATGTTGTGTTGTCTTTATTAATGGCAAGGGACGTTCTCTCTGTCACTCTCTCTGTCTCTTTCTCCCGCCTCACCCTCCTGGCGCAGCTCCTAATGGGCACACTCCATCTACTCATTACTCAGATGGATAGAATGGCTTTTCATGCGACTCCATTGAGTCACCAAGCGCCAAACTGATTGAGCAAATGAAGAGAAATCAGAAACCCATTCCAGGCCTGATAATTCTCTCAGCTCCACCATTATCCGTGAGAAATGAGAACCCCTGCCTATAGCATCCTGACTCAGACAGTAGTGTTTATGATGTACTTCTACTGTACTGCAGCACTGTTTGAGTGACATATTCCTCATTACTCACAAAGCCCTCAACAATCAGGCCCCTCACAGACCTGCTGCACCACCACGCCCCTTCCCGCTGCCTCCGCTCATCAGAAGCCAACCTCCTATCCATCCCCACCCGCACCAATCACCGGACCTGGGGGGACAGAGCCTTCTCCTCCCTCTGGAACTCACTCCCCCAACCCATCAGAGACTGCACTGACCTCACCACCTTCAAAAAACTCACAAAAACTCACCTCTTCAATCTGGCTTTTAATGTGTGATTGTTTTTGTATTATTTGACTTTAACTTTAACTATATATTTATTTGTTGTTCCTTCTTTTCCCTTCACTATATCTGTAAAGCGTCTTTGAGCGCCTGTAAAAGCGCTAACAAATTAAATCTATTATTATTATTATTATTATAATATGGAAATGTGTTTTTAGTGGCCTTGCAAGTGGCTAAAAGCTGCAGCTAATTGCCTAAAAATATAAATTGACTTGTAAATGAGCGCCAGATGTTAATAGCCACCTCCATCTTAATGCAGGCCCACAAGCAAATGTGGAATACATTCAGCCAAATGGTTTCACAGATACTCTTGAGTGCTTTGGTTGTTCAAATGATAAATGAGAGTTAAAAACGAGACACATACCTGATGCCTTTGATTTGTGCAATGCTGTGGTGGGAGATCTTCGAAAGAGCGGAGATTACCTGAAACAAACAAAGAAAAATACAGATAAACATACAATTCCATATTGAAAAATATTCAATTTTTCCTCCGCCTTTCTCTTATCAGTGATAACTTGATTATGCAGTAATATTTCTTGCATTTTATTGTTATTATATGCAGCACTCCAAGGAAACATTTGGAATGCTGAGAAGATAATGGGATAAAACAAACAAACAAAACAGTAAAAGAACCACAATAAAAACAGGCAGCGACAAATGTAATAAGAAGATAAGCAGCATTAACTTTAACAGTAACTACAAGAAAAACCATGAGGGGCCAACCAATAAGAATATAAATAAAAAAATTAAAATAAACACAGTCTAAGGCGAAAATTAACTATAAAAACTAATCATCTGAGACAACAATAAAAATCAACTGTAACTACACATATAAAGGTAATAATCAACAACAAAATTACAAAACACATTTAACATCAAGGTATCAAAAAGTTAAACGTCTAGGGCAAAAAAACTTCATAAGTAACTAAAGATTAAGTCGTCCGATGCAAACAATTAACAAACAACAACAAAAGTAACACACAGGGTCAAAGCACCAATCAACAGTCAAAGCACCAATCAACTACTAAAGTAACTACAAAACAAGTCATTAAATGCCATTATCAACAACTAACATCAGAAATATCAAAAAGGTAAAACGTCAAAGGCCCCAATCAATAGGGCTGCACGATTTTGGGAAAACATCTAATTGCGATTTTTCTGACAAATATTGCGATTTGCGATATTTGTTTTTAAGCGACCCAACGGAAGTTTATTGTAAAATGCGGCCATAACTCCGGCTAGGAAGGTCGCACCAACGTGCTCCCGTCTCTAGCACCCCCGCAGCCCGAGCTACGAGTGAAAAAACTAAACATACATGAAACTTCCGTTGGGTTGCTTTAAAGTCAAGCTTCAGTTTAAGATTCACCCTGTAATAGAAACATGTGATGGAGCATTACTAACCTGACCCAGATGGTTTGTTTCACCAAAGCATCTAAAGCTCCATTGGAAGCCATTTGGAAAGAGCAGGCACTTTCAGAAGCACTTGGCAGGTGATTGGATCAATCTGTCTATCACCTTCCATCATGGGCTACTTCTGATTGATTAACAATGGCTGGTACATGTGGAGCACAGCACTTCTGATTGGTGTGGATGACTGACACAAGAAAAAGAAAAACAAATTGTAAAAAAAAAAAAAAATGTTTTTAAAAAAATCGCAGGCTTTGCGATTTGATAATCGCATCATTTCAAATCACGATTTCGATTTAAAATTGATTAATCGTTCAGCCCTACCAATCAACTACAAAAGTAACCACAAAACAAGCCATCAAATGAATGGATGAATATTAACAACTAACATCAAAAGTAACTTAAAGACAGCAGTCACAGGCAACATTCAGCTACAAAAATAACTAGTTAACAAGCCATCAGAAGCAGATAATCATCAACTAACAACAAAAGTAACAAACAAAAAATCAGTCGAAGGCACCAATCAACTACAAAATAAATGAAGTCCACAGAGGAACGGCTATTATCAAACTACTTTGTATGTGCTACCAGTTTAAAGAAAGTACATTCATTTTAGTTTAACATTTACTCTTCTTTGGGGCTGATTATCAGACATTACTTGCACGTTTCCTAGCAACCCCTCTTGGGCGTATGCAGTGCCACGAAGGACTGTGTGTAAACATGATGCAGGCCAACATGTTAATGGTGACATTCAAAGACATGTGGTGCACAGTCACGGATGGATGGGTACCACTTTGGTTACATTACACAACAACACGCACATCTAGTGTCCATCCATCTTTTCCTTATTTTACCTAACTTCAAATATTCAATAGTCTGTCAACCCCCCAAACTTCCCCTTTCTACTTTTGTTTTTGTTGTAAAAAAAGGTTTAATGTGTGCATGTATTTATTTAAGCTGATTTAATGCTGCTTATGAGCCACGCGCAAGTGGCTTTATGGCTGAGGACTACAGATGGCGTGCTTGCAGAGTCTACAGAGGCTAGTTCAGGATGATGAGGGAACCACCTTCAAACTCACACACACACCAAAATGCAAAGCCCGTCTCCTACGCCTCATTACCCTCTCCTGGGTGTATTTCGGCTTGCGACGCCGTGGCAATGCCAGATGTCTCCTCGACAGGGAGGAGAAAATTGTTATCTCAACCCCACTTACTCGGCAGGTGTGTCATCTATAGCCTCTCATCAAAGTCCCTCTTGTCGAAACACACAATGCGACCATCTCATCCTTTATGGCATTTAACATTCAAGATGAGCTAATGGCTGTTGTGAAGAGCAAACCACCACTTTAGGACTGCAGGGTACTTATGTTGAAGCACTTTTGACCAACTCTCCCTATTCAAGTTGTTCTCATGTTTAACATCACCATTGTGGAAAGTGGGGGGACTACATAGGGCACTATTATGGAGTGTGTACACATCACATTAAATTACATCTAACCTCTCAACGAAGGGAAACCTCAACGGGGTTATTGCTCGACAGCATGATAAGAGGTTATTTCACTGTGTCGCTAAATACCCGTGTAATAGGCAGTCATGTTCATGCTTAATGGTTCCAATAAGGGGCCAGTTTACCATTACACACCTCCTTAACATATATTCCAACTGCTCTTATAGAAAACAAAAAGGAAAGAGAGACAAAGAGCGAGATGAGAGCTTGGTAATTTAGCTCAATGTCTGTTTAGCCAATGGTTCGGGTGTTTGATAAATCATGGCGGGTAAACCCATTGTTCTGCTGGGTGGCATGCTGCCCACCTGGCAATGCTGCAAGGAGGGATCACATATGGCATCAAGTATGATTATATGTTGTCTTATTAGCCTACATTGTCTTTGTGGAAGGGTAACCCACACTAACAATTCTAATTAAAACATAACAAAAGCAAAAGAAAGAAGCAGCTAGATGGATATATTGGTGGATACATTCAGTGTTTAATAGCAGTTAATATTTGATGCCGGGTACTGGGACCAGATCCGGCTAAACTCAGTCAGGTTCAAAGGATAATGGAGCTTTTGGCTTGGAGCCAGAAAGGGTCGCAGCGGGGCCAAAGCCATGAATGTGCCAAAACCGAGCATGCTAGCGTGACATTCTAACATCACGAGATGAAGTCTATTACTATAAATGTCTAGTTTACTTTACATTAAAGAGTTTGTTCTCATTTTGAGTCAGAATCTTGCACGGCATAATGTGAAAAATATGTCTCAATACTGCGAGTGCCGTTCGTGACTCCCTCTGGCATCGGAGAATAAATGCTAATTTGCAATCTGTCTTCAGGGCAGCTGGGCAAGTAAAAATGTGTTCTCACAATGTGATAAGTGCCTTTAAATTACACGTCTTATTTATCTATTTATGTAGAGCTGCAGTTTCACTACAGACATACTGTAGTAGGGTAAACGCATGGTATTATTTAGTTTTATCTTAAAGGAATAATACACCTAATAGATACGTAAAAGTTGCGCCTCACACGCCTGGAGGGTGAATGATTTGTTTTACCTTCAACATTTGTTGTGCTTTAAAGTATAAAGGGACCTTTTTAAAGACACTTTTTATGGAGCTGACTTGTTTAAACTGTCTCAAAGTATACCATCCCTATTCCTCAAAGGTGGCATAGGTTATCAAAGGTTATTCCTGATTGTGCTTTTCTCTCTTTCCGTCTTTCTGTTCCCCTTTCTGCCTCTAACACAATCCCTTCTGATCCTGTGGTTCACTCAAAGCCTCTGAGTCTCTACACATTATTAATTTCCCCTTCATCTAGTTCTCCCTGGGGGGTCTTAAGGCTGGTGCTAGCCAGCGAATAAAGCTTCTTCCACTCTTCTAGGAATATAGGAAGGACAAGTAACACGTTGGTAGGATAGCTTGGATTTCTAAAGCTCCTCAGCAATATCTTACTTTAATCACACCCCCCCCCCCCCCCCCCTCCCCAACACCCCCACAGCCCCTGGCATTCCCTCACCTACATCTGACCCTTTGACACATGGTATTAGTCAGAGAGCTTCACTGATGCTTGCTGTTTCTGCATGAGACTGACATGCAACATTTACGATCCATTCACCACTTAAGATGTTTGAATGTGTGTGTGTGTGTGTGTGTGTGCGTGCGTGCGTGCGTGCGTGTGTGTGTGTGTGTTAGGATAGGGATGAAGATTGTATCCATGGATTATCTGCAAGGATATGCCAAGTGTTTGCAAACACACGCCACCCATACACATCTCCAGATTCCCCACATGGGGGCCCAGCTGGGGCCAAGCGGAGCCTTATGTGACCAGCCAATCAGAAGACCTACTGGGTTACCCTTGGCAATATAGCTAGACTGAATATGCATGGTCATCAATTACAACGTCAAATCAAATGAATCTTGCGGCCATATGCTATTAACGGTAGGAGTGCGGGGGTGTGATTTGATTAAGATCGGAAAACTTGCACGAGAGGGCTATTGACAGTCCATCACAAGCCACAGCCCCCACCGCCAGTTCTGTTTATATCTGATGCACTCATGGCGTGATTATATCTCGCACCGCAAATCAATGCATGCGTTGGAAGTCATCCAAAAAAGAGGCTGAGTTAATGAACATTTCATCACATTACTGTTATGCCTTTTATCTCTCCCTCCCTCTCTCTCCAGGCTCTTCTTCCAACAGCCAACTCCCACAGAGAGTGAGATATTAATGGAGTATTCACACGTTGATAGGACAGCATTGCTCTGCTTATGCCAGCCTGCCAACGTGGTAGGCACGAAGCGAAAAGGGGCACCGAGCGGGAGAGCCGAGAACAGATGGCTGAGTGGGAACCCTGCGTGCCCAACATCAATAATAGACAGACAGAGGAGGGACGTCGTGTGTGTGCAAGTGTGTGAGTATGTGTGTGTGTGTGTGTGTGTGTGTGTGTGTGTGTGTGTGTGTGTGTGTGTGTGTATCCCACTGTCCTACTGCCTCTGGGAGTTTCTGTCTTTTTACAAACCTTCT